GGTGTTGCGTTGCCCTTCTCTCGTCGTGTACCCGGGGTTAGGTCCCACTTGCACGAATTAAGAGATACTGACCGTAGATAGCAAAGATCTTTTTTTTTTTTTTTTTTTTTTTTTTAATAGGACAATGCTCCAATCTATTCGTGGGGAGCAGCACATGCTGGGAACCGGGCCCAGCGTCCCATATAGAGTTACACAAATCATTTGAGGTACCGGGGCCATTACCCGACTTCGGCTGAGAATCAATCTGAGAACTGTTGAGAGCTATTGAAGAAATTCAAGAATCTGAAAACTATTAAGAACTATCAAGAGAAAGGTCTGGTCACCACAAAAACACTCCACCACAAAGGTCCACGAATGTTCAAAACCCTGTGTATCCCTAGCAACCTTTCTAAAACTCTCCATCATGTCTTACTCCCTGCCGGACTCTTTTAGGCCTCACACCCCCACCCTGCTGGGTAACAGGGCAAAACGACTCACCTCAGCTCTGGCCAGCGTCGTCCCAGCAGCAACCAATGGTTGTCCCTTGGAATGCCCACCCCAAAGCATCCCCAGATCTCTCTACCAGGCCTCACACTCCTGCATCAACAGGTTACAGGGCAACACCCCAGCTCCGGCCAGCGTCGTTCTGGCATCGAACATCCGCAGATCACTGAGTATATCAGAAATGGATCCGTCTGAGATGAATTGTTAGGATTCCGCTGAATCGTAAATCATTCCTAAGACCCCCTTGGCAACCATGAACATCCAACCAACCGTTTTTTGGAAATTTGAGATACCGGGGCCATTACCCGGCTTTGGCTAATAAAATCCGAGTTATTTCAGAAAATTCAGAAAACCAACTCCCCTCATCAAACCTCTTTACCACACTCCGGCAAGGCTTACTGCGGCAGAACCACCATCTCCGCTGCTGCTGTGCCCTATTTCCGTCCTACGAGCTAGCCCCCTTACTAGTAGGACACTTGTTATCCAACCATCTACTTGTCCCCCTCACCTCTTTGAGAGAACGATTCAGAAAAAGACTCAGACACCCCCCAACAAGATTACTACCACGAAATTTAGACAAAATCAGAATCCCCCATCAATCCACCTTCACCTCACTCCGGCAAGACTTACCGCAGCAGAGCTACCATCTCCACTGCTGCTCTACCCTATTACCATCCTACCAGCTAGCCCTCTCACTAGCAGGACGCTTAGTATCCCACCTTCTATTTCTTTCACTCACCTCTTCTTAACTAGAAAAACCATCTGAGAAAAGTTACAGTAATTCGAAAAGGAATAAACCGCAAAGGTTCTTCTAAAGATACTAAAAAACCCTCGAACGTCTAACGAACCCTTCCAAAATTCCTCAACACTAACTTACTCTCTGCCGAATTCTTGCAGGTCTCACGCCCCCCACATTGTTTGGTTACAACGCAACACAACTCACCCCAGCTTCGACCAGCGTCATCTGGCAACAACCTTTGATTGTTCCATGGAATGCCCAGCCCAAAGCACCCCCAGATCTCTCTACCAAGCCTCACGCTCCTGCATCAGCAGGTTACAGGGCAACACCCCAACACCGGTCAGCGTCGGTCTGGCATCGAACAACCGTAAATCACTGAGTATAACAGCATCAAGCCACCTCAAAAGGATTAGTAAAGGTCCCCAGGGTCAAGAGAAATTTAGAAACCTAGAATACCACCCACCATCCAGCCACTTCCCCACATCGTAGAGGGAAGATTAGTGCCCAGGCAATCAGTCCTCGTACCAGAACGCGCAAGATCTCATACCCCCCTACGCTAGGGTAACAGGGCAACACCAACTACCCCAGTACCGACCAAACTTGTTCTAACAGACAGGAAGTGTCTTCCTCCCTCGATAACTCCCTTAACTGCATAGCCCCCCAAGGTTACAGGGTCACTGCCCCTGCTTCAACTACGTTGAGCAAGGTAGTTATGCCTTCCTCCCTCTGCAAGTTCCAATAGTCTCAAACTCCTTCCGGTTACAGAGCATCTGCTCCAGCACCGACCATTGTCACCCCGCCCCGCCCTTCTAAAGACCTACCACCCTAGACATCAATCCATCCTCTGCAACGTGCACCACCCTACCAACCTCCCCCTACTTACCAAATGACCTTTTGAAAATTTAGAGATCTTCGAAAAAGACTCAGGACATACAAGAATCAGGCAAACTTCGCAATGCAGACTAGAAAGTTAAGACTTACTAACGTGAATTTTCTAAAATAGAAAGATAATTCGAAAGCTTTTAGAGATTTGAAATTTCAAAACAATTAGGAGGTCCATCGAACCCCACTGATGAAAATTAAACATTTTAGACCAAAATTAAAGTCTATCTAAGATGTTAAAAACTGGACTCACGATTATATAGAATCAGAAATTTCATAAGAAACTACTTCGAGAGGATATTTTGGAGACAAAATTAAGATGAATTGGAAAACCAAATTAGAAAATCCATCGAAGGCAGCTTTGGATTGAGATGAAATTAAAAAATTCTATCGAAGGCAGCTTTTGGAACATGAAATTTAAGAACAAAATTCAAGGAATCTATGATGAAATTGAGAAACCAGGTGGAAAATCTATCGAACGGATGAATTTAGAATGAAAATTAGAACGTGGAGCATACCGATTCTTAAAAAAAACAGCAAACAGATAACCAGTACAACTCCACGAATTTGACTGTCACTCCATAATACTAACGGAAGGTCTACATAGGTGCCTCTCCAACACTAAGAATCCTTACAATTTCTATCGCACCGTGTCACGTTCCTCCTCCCTCCCAACCTCCACCTCCTCCTTCATTGGCTCATAAGCAACTCAGCCGTCTCGTGGCGTACAACCGCTCGCAACCATCTGTCGTAAGGCTGAGCGATGAAGATTATCGGACCGTAGCGTAAAACTTATCTTGTCTCAACCACGTAGCGAGACACAACCACCGAGCCCGTCGATGGCCTCTCACTGGCAGTCCAGAGAGATAAGGAGCATCCATGGTGGTAAGGAGAGACACCTAATAGATTTTCTCTCCAACGATCTCCAGTAGTCCGCTGCCAGAATCATCCACACCGTCATCAAGCCTCCAGGACCACCGAAACAGAGATGACGAAAAACCTTCCTCATGAGCATGCCCTTCAGGTGACGCTAACTAATAACCTTCATTAGCAATCGCCTCCCTCTCCACCTCTTCTCTTCGTGCGCCCTTCACTACACCCAGCGACAACAGGAAAGTTTGCCACCATCACCAAGCCGCACCCCGCCACTGTTTACGTCCCCATACACGCCACTGCACAGCTTGCCGGGGCGCACCGAATCGCTCCGCAAGGGCAAGGAAAGTTTGCCGCCATCACCCAGCCGCACCCCGCCACTGTTTACGTCCCCATACACGCCACTGCGCAGTTTGCCGGGGCGCACCGAATCCCTCCGCGAGAGCAAGGAAAGTTTGCCGCCATCACCAAGCCGCACCCCGCCACTGTTTATGTCCCCATACACGCCACTGCGCAGCTTGCCGGGGCGCACCGAATCCCTCCGCGAGGGCATGCCGTCGGGGCGGGGCACAGCGCTCCCGGTAGGGCTGGCCCCTTACCAACAGGGGCGTCAAGCGATGTGAGACACCACTCATCATTTGATAAAACCAAGAAGGATCTCGTAGATAGCAAAGATCAACGGCCGAAATCTTCTAATTTGCGCAAGTGGGACCTTGCCCCCGAATAGACATATACCCTAATAGACCGATTCGATCTTTTCGGTCCGCGCGGTTGTACGGTGTAGTCAAGTTAACGCTGTGCGGCAGGTCGGTAATTTGGGCCTCGCTGCGCTACACAAGAATCGTCATGGATTTCTGGACCAGGTGCATTCAGACGTGCCAACATTTTGAATGTATGACTCTGAGAAAACGGCCAAAATGCATGTGCGCAGTGTTGCGTGGTGGAGCGAGGAGGGCGCTTTGTGCGCACGAGGAGTCGCAGTTCCTTTTCACCTTGTTTTCTTCCGCCAGTTCTCGCTACGCTACGCCTGCTCGGCCCGCATCGCGCAATCGACCAGATCTCCTCCTCTACCGCGCCCCCACGGAGTTGCGCTCGCCAGACAGCGCGCCGTCCCCCTGCCCCTCCCTGTCCCCACCGGCGGTCCCCCTGTCCCTCCCTGTCCCCACCGGCGGTCCCCCTGTAGCCCCTCCCCGCGCGTTTTTTTCCTGGTTTTCGCCGATCGACGCCCAAGGCCAAACACGGCACGGCGGAGTTGGGCGTAGCGCGGGCTTGGCAGGCAATCCGAAGCGATGTCGCGCGCGAGAGTGGAGAGGGAGGGATAATGGCCGGCACAGGCAGATCCGATCTGTAAGAGGCATAAAGCGCTTGACAACGAAGAAAGGCGGGGTGAAAAGTGGCGATCGCAGCAGCAGAACCCTGCCCACGGCATCCCGCCGCCATCACTCGCGATTTTTTGCATGCAGCACGGGAGTTCGGAGGGAGAAAAAAAAAGAGCGGGGAGGACGACAGACAGCCCGCCAACGGCAGGCAGGCAGATAGGCAGACAGCCCGGCAGACACACAAGAGAAACGGAGAGTGCGACATCAGAGGCAGGCGGGCAGGGAGAAGGGCCACCTACAGCTTGACCATGGGAGAGAGAGAGAATAGGTACTAGGGGTGGATAGGAAGTTAGAATCTGAATTTCCTTAGGGGTAGTCTATCGAGGCGGCCATTTGTACAGTCATCAGTACCGGTGAACAACGCTTGCCCTTCGGCTTGGGGCGGTGGTGGGGACCAGGGGGTGGGGCGGGGGCGGTGGCGGTGGAGGTGGAGGTGGAGGAGGTGGACTCCTTCCCAAATGAGCAACTGGACCAAGCAGTACGCCATCGCTGCGCTTGGATTGAAGCTTCAGCCTGAGCCTGAACTCAATCTCTCAGCAGGCTGTCTTGATCAATGCTGCTGCGTCTCTAGTTCTGCGGCGTTGCCGCGCCAGTCTTCTACCGTAACTACACACGGCGAAGAATACTATCCTGTTGTGGACTGTTCTCATTTCCTTTATATGCTCTTAACAAAAAACCCTTTTTTCATTGTGCGAGACAAGAGGGAGATGCCGATGCGTGATCGCGCTTCTATCCTATCCCTTCCTCTCTCTCTTTCTCCCTTCTCTCTCTCTCTCTCTCTCTCTCTCTCTCTCTCTCTCTCTCTCTCTCTCTCTCTCTCTCTCTCTCTCTCTCTCTCTCTCTGTGGCTTGCCCACTTCAGAGGTAAGTCACTGATATAAAACCACGATATGAGCCAATCCAGCTTCCGCGACAGGACCTACGCCAAACCGTAGGTGCTTCCGTGCCGTGGTGAGTTGATAACAGAATCAGCAGGTGTACTCCTTGTATCTGGTTGCCACGTCAGCTCCATTTATCACCCCTCTTCTTCTCGTCCTACGCGGCTGTCCTGGATTGACTCAGATCCTCCTCCTCCTCCTCCTCCTCCTCCTCCTCTTCTTCTTCTTCTTCTTCTTCTTCTTCTTCTTCGTCGTCGTCGTCGTCATCGTCGCCGCCATCTCCTTGTGCTTCCCGGGGCAGTTCATGGGGCCCTAGTTCCTGGGAGATTCGGGGATCTTCTTCTTCGGAATCCCATTAAAATTTTCCACACACAGAGAGAGAGAGAGAGAGAGAGAGAGAGAGAGAGAGAGAGAGAGAGAGAGAGAGAGAGAGAGAGAGAGAGAGAGAGAGAGAGAGATTGGCAACTCCATCTTGTCGTTGGTTACTCGTTCTCTGCTGGAACTGAAGAGGAGGAAAATGAGGAAGATGAGGAAGTCGGGACATTGCTCGATTAGGAAATTGCTCACAGCACGATGGGCATCGATCGTTGCTTTACTCTGTTGGGTAATGTCGTATACGCCGCCCTCGGCAAATAAAGCTGGGGGCTTGGCTGATTTGCAGCAGGGAAGAGGGTACCCGCTCTTCTTTGCGATGGCGCAGGACGACGGGATTACTGGCACGCCCGCCGTCGTCACCTCCTCCTCCTCCTCCTCCTCCCCTCCTTCCACCGCCGCGCAATGGGGTTCTGACGGTGATGCCGACGGAGGTATGGGCGTCTCCTCATCCTCCTCCTCCTTCTCTCCTAATGAGGACGATGACTTCGACGCTGGTCCGTCTCTGTCTTCCCGCGCTTCTCCTTCACTTCAATCGGGTGATGACGACGATATGGAGGGCGGGTCTGAGCCCGAGCCCACCATTTCGAGCAGTCGCAAGAGAATTCCGCCGGTTTCTTTGCCAAGTGCGTTCGGTTCACGTTCGCCGTTACCGATCGGCCCGCTCCTGAGTTGGCCGCCCGTTTCTTCCGCCCGGTCCTCTGCGCCGTCCGCCATGCGCTCATCATCCCCCGATTCCGCCCCTTCGTCATCGGACGAGACCGATTTGCTTCCGCAGGGTTCCGACGATGGGAGCGCATCACCGCCCGCTGTTTCTCGTCCCTCGACGAGCACTCCCGTCGCTTCCTGCGGCAGGTTTACCGTGTTTCCCGTCGGCGAAGGGCTCATGTTCGACGCCACTGCCGAGTTACACGTCACCACCTTCGATGACTTGACTGCACTCGAGATGGACAATGCCACGATGTACATAAATGGGACCAGCTACGTCTCGCTGAATGGTACGGTGGGGCCCAATACCGGGATACTGGCAGCAGGCTGGGGAATACAGGCCACCTTCCGTAAAGGGTATTGCTTACCAGATGGGTCGCCGGGGGAGCCGTATCGATTTCGAGGCCGTCACGGTATCGAGGTACGTCCGTCATCCGCCGCATTCTTAAAATCGCCTCTTCGCTCCCTCCATCCCGCCAAACACGGGCCATGGGCGCCGCTCGATGCTCGAGCGAAATCCGCTCCCTCCCCTTCCTTTATCCCACGTCACTTCCCTTCCCCTCCTCTCTTACATGTTGCCTTTCCTCGTCATTCTCTCTTTCTCGCTTCCTCTATCTCTATCTCTCTGTATGTATTCTTCTCCTTCTCTCTCTCTCTCTCTCTCTCTCTCTCTCTTTTTCCACTTCTGCCGTTATTTTTCGTTCATTGCTCGTGGTGAAACTCTTCCCTTGCGCTCCCCTCGATGCCTCGCGGAAACATACACGTTGGATCCGTTGCTGGAAAACACGCAACAGTCTAAGTTTGGCCGTGTTGCAGGGATCTCTCTCTCTCTCTCTCTGTGTTTCAAATATCTTATGTTCCCCACAAATGGAAGCGCGTCCCCCCTGCAAATACGTCCACGGGAAAGGATGATTAACCCCACAAATACCATATACCCCCCCATGAGACGAAC